TCTATTTAACAACTAGATTTCCCATTTGAAATCGAGTTTTATTCGAGCAAAAAAACACTTGATTGATTTGTTGATGTTATGCATATTACAGACTTGCTGTTTCACTGATCTGATTTGATCTTATCTGATATTTTTCGATGTGTCACAGTTTAGAAACTCAATATCTAGTTTAATACTATAAACTAGAATGAAAAGGAAATTAGTCTGTACATTTAAAGAATCGTTTATGCCAGTAGGCTGAAAACACACAAAAAAAGATCTATATATGAATAATTCACAATTTTCATCTATTTCGTGGAAAAATAATCTACAGATCTTTTCATGATTAGCTTGTTTGGAATAATCATGAAAGTTTAATATTTGACCTTGTATATTCAACATGTTACGTAATGTTTGAATGTTTCATTTTATTGTAAATATTTCTTTATTAGATTTAACTGATTCGGTAACTAACATTCTGTACTTACATTGATCTGCCTGATTATTATAAAGTAATGGAAGAATAATTACTTGGATAATTTATTCGTGGATTTGTTGAGGTTAGACATTAACACGATTGGATGCCGGCTCAGTGATCCAGTAGGTTAAGCGTTCGCGCGCGAGACTGAAGTCCATGGGTTCGAATCACGCGAGCGGGATCATGGATGTGCACTGCTGAGTAGTCCCACAATAGGGCGAAACGAACGTCCAGTGCTTCCAGGTTTTCAATGGTGGTCTAACACTAGTCGGTTCATGATCTCAATCAAAATTTTTGTTAGGGTTTGACTAAAATGTAACAATTTTTAATTGATTTATAAAACAATTACTTTTATTGGTTCTACAAACGGTAATATGAAAAACATAATATCAAAAACCTAACAGAATAATGCTATTGAAATATTATCTTAGTAATAAATCATATTCAATGGAAATGAACATATTTATATCCATACAGTCATATTATTAAAAGTGCTTATCGGTACACATAAGAAACAACAAATAGCACTGTAATTTTAAAAATATAGACTATAATCACTCATAAGAACGGATAAAAATGTAAACAAGCTATTAGGTAAACCAATGTGTTGAATTAAGTGGTGAGATTATAATTTATGGACGTCCTATGAGTGACGTTAAAGTGACCTTGAGAATATCCATCTACTTAATAGAGCTGAGGGAATTAAGATTATGATTTATTGTTTATGATTAGCATTAGGAATTAGATTTAGGGTTTTTATCATAAACTAACATCAACTAAAATGTCAAAGCGTTATTTAGTGAAATAGATGAATGAACTTCGCGTCAAAATCTAAGACTTGTTATCTTAAATTATAGTCTCACTAGAACCGATGAATTTGAGATAATTTATTACCAGATGACAGAAAATCATATTCACCTATGTAATTATACTCTTTACTAACTAATCTGTCCGATTATTACAAATGGGAAAAGCATATGTAATGTACAGTATGTATAGTTCATTATTCCTATATGGTTCACTGGCATTTCTTTCTAATAGATGGACGTGATTCAAAAACCTCACATATGTATATATATACATATATATATATATATATATATATATATATTTATATATTGTATAAAATGACCAAACATTATAAAACTCAAGTAGTATGTTGTTACAATAACAAACGATTTCTTGAAGCAAATGACTTACACAAAAAAAATTTCTAAAAATGTCTTCAGCACAATACACATATCTTTTGTTATATAAAACATATTTACCTATCAAATAAATATATGTGTTCAGTGATGATTCTCTTCTCAATTCATTTGACAGTAATGAGATTTATAAACTTAACAATCTCCCGATTCCATATTGATAACTACATACATATATATAATTGCTACCCACAAGACAAAACATTTCTTTCACATATTTCATAGAATTTAAAAATATAAAAAAAAACCAAATTCTAAAACTGTATTAGTCTAATTTCGTTGGCATTTTCGTAAAAGTGTTTTTTTTGTTCAACCAGATTGATTTACTAATTAGACTATCTAAATAAATAGGGGATAAAACTAGGCCATATTTTAAAACATCCATTGATAATAAAATACAATTTTTCAATGAATTAACTTCAATAACATGTGACTTTTCTATTTTAATGTGGATTATTATTATTACATAATTGAATTAGTTATGTAAACTATACATTTGATGATTTTATAAAACAAGAGCACTTTTACAATAAAGAATAACAAATTCATTACTTTATATAGAATATTTTTTGGACAATTATGTCACATGTATAATCATCTGTAATTGTAAAATTATTCGAATATAGAAATACCTACAGTGTTTTTCTTTTTTTGCAAAACAAAGTTCATTTTCAGAAGGGGTTTTGTGGAGATTTTTTAGGAATTTCAATAATTGAAATCATGAGTCCATTAAAACTAGACAACCATGGAAAAATTGGAAGCACTGGACGGCCGTTTTGTCCTAGTATAGGACTCCTTAGTAGTGAGCATCCACGATCCTAAATAATAAAACCGATGTGATGTATATAATTGAAGAATAATTTGATTGTTTCATTATATTTCTTTCCACTAAATAATTGGTAGTTAGTTGATAATTCACTTAGTCATGAAATAATTTTATAAAGACAATGCATATATAGAAGACATTACATAATTTTATAGTAAATTAGCTATGAAATAGATTACTTAGTTGAATTTCAGTAGTTGTATTTCTTTCAACAACTCAATTTATTTAAATCTACTTTCTCGTTAAATTAATGAAGATAACTCCAGTTATAACATTATTCAATTTGATTTAGAACTTTATATCTGAAATCTGTGATTATTAAGAGAACTAAACATGATGATTCAGTTATCACAGTACGTATGTAGTTAATCTGTTAGTACCTTTATTAATCAGTCGACTACACAGTTTTTTTGGTAAAGTATGAACATAATAATATTTGTGTTGCAGCTTCTTCAATCTGGTAAAGATTAAAATAGGTGTGCGTAATATATCCGAAACAGTATACGTCTAAACATAGATGATACCGTAACTGCTTGAACCAGTAGGACCGATTTCTAGCATTCACTCAAGTGTGTTATTTTATTATTTTTATCATACAGTTGTTCAGACAGTAGGGCAAAATGTACATCATTGAGAGGCGAGGGATTACTAAACTAAATAGTTGTTTACTTCACCCTGGTTTCCAGTTGTACCGCAAATGAAATCAGACTGTAATGAACACTGCCTAAAAATTAAGTTGATGCCCACAAAACCCCTTCACAGAAATTACAGGATTCGTCTACAATTGTAATATTTCTTACTATTCAATCAAAATTAGGTTGAATATATAGTGGATTTACACTGATAGTCGGTTAGAATATTAATAATGTATTTGTTGTATGAAATAGCAATATGCTTTAAATATTATTAAGAATCACAAATACAAAGGTCTTACCATGAAGAAATGTTTTGTGGAAAACGTTTTCTTATGGCTCACGAAGTTGCTTTAAGCTCATCATAATACTAAACTCTTACCGTAAGCACAAGAGCTAGCAATAACGAATAGATGCTAAGAAAAGTATACGAATGTCTATTTCTGAAGAAACATAATGAGAAATACTTATTACTCATAAATAATTGCTATTAAGTGAAAAAGAGAAACCAACACGCTGGAAATTAGTCTGATGCATATCTTCTTATTGGTAGATAATACGTCCTCTAAATGTCCCATTTTCAACACCTTTAATACCAATCGTCCAGAAAATTCTATTAATTCGTACGTTCGAGCTGCCATACCACATTAGTACAGAAATGCAGTTGTCGATTCAAATCCCTTAGTGCTAGTAGTAGTAAGAGTATAAGCAGTAATTGGAAACATTAGGGTTTGAAGATGTATTCAAGGAGTATAATCCAGTGAAATAAATTTAGAAAGAGAAAAAAAGGGACACGAAGAATTCAGAAGATTAGAACACAAAGAGTAGATGCACCTGCGACATTGCAAACGATTTTGAGCTATGTCATTCAAGGTCTCTAATTATCGGTTGCTATCGTCTCATGGATCTTAACAAGGTAGTCTACACCTATCAATAATAATATCAATATCATTATAGCGGTGATCGTATTGGATCATAAAAGCAAATTGAAAATATATATCATATGAAAGCAAATAAACTTTCATACATATTTAAAATCATTTATTTTTCATTGTTTTACATGAAAGATCCAAATTGTCAAAATATTTGACACATGTACATCATAATGAATCAAATAAACAAATAGATAATGATTATTATAATTATACTGAAGTCCACCATTACTACATAAGATCTCGATTATCAAATAAAGTACCATATTTTCAATGAACAATTTATTATTTAATATTGTTTTATTTATTAACTCTACAACTGAATGAGTTAATAATGAAGTTATTTGGTTTTCAAAAAAATATATATGATTTACCTGCTTCTGAAGAAATCTATGTTTGTTTTATCATTGTTCTTTGATGGCATATAAATAGTGAGAAAATAAAAATTGAAGAAGAAAAAAAAATCTACATGAATAAAGATTCTATGAAAATAGTTTGTTTCATTTAAGCCTTCTAAAGGTTATTGATGAAAACCAGCGTTTATACAATGATTGGCAAATAACTTGGTTGGTTTGTTCTATATGTTTTGTGTATAGTATCATGTAATAGAAGTTGAGTTATTATATATATATATATATATATATATATATATATATATATATATATATATATATATATATATATATATATATATATATATATATAGCATGATTTTCCTAAAGGTCATTGGGAAATTAGGTAGACATCAGTTATAAACAGAGAGAACAATAAAATTCAGTTAGAAAAAACACTAGCTGAAATTGTTATCTGTGGCTAACATGAACTTTATATACAAAATATATTGTAGAACTAAATTCAATTAATTCACAGTTCACTACCTTGATAAAGTATGTAGATGTATACTGTATGTTGAATAAAATATTCAACTGTTCTCTGTTAGTTTTTTTTGTAGTTGAGCATAATATTGATTAAACGAAATTGACTATCGTAGATTCATGAACTGATGAAAAACAATTAGAATGTTATGAGAAGAAAACCGAGAGTATGTGATTACTTTTTTAATGTAATAGAATTTTGTTTCAAGGCACTGGTTATTGTTGTATCATATTGACTGTTAACACTACTCTCGTTATGTGAAATTGTCTTTATGGATCTACTACTACCACTACTATTGATATTATAAGTAATACTACGAACTTTTGTATTTGTATGTTGTTCTTTATTGTCAACATCATCATCTGTTTCTAATGATGAAGAAATAGAGTGTGATATATCATCTGATTCTGTTTCACGATGATAGAAATAATTAAAATTTGATACAATCACAGGAACAGGAAGTGCAATAGTTAGTACACCAGCGATAGCACATAATGAACCAATTAATTTACCCCATACAGTTACCGGTCGCATGTCTCCATAACCAACTGTTGTCATTGTTACAACAGCCCACCAAAATCCATCAGGTATACTACGAAATAATGAAGTGTCAGCATCAGCTTCAGCAAAATATACAGCTGATGAAAAGAGAATAACACAAATAAGTAAGAAGAATACTAGTAATCCTAATTCTCGGACGCTTGCTCTTAGTGTTTGTCCTAAAATTTGTAGTCCTTTTGAATGTCTTGATAATTTGAATATACGAAAAACGCGAACAAGCCGAATAACTCTTAGTACAGCTAATGATGTTGTCTGATTAAGTTGTTTAGGATCATCGATAATTACAGCGCCAAGAGTTATGAAATATGGTATAATTGAAACCACATCAATAACATTCATTAGCACTTTGAAAAATTCAAATTTTTTCGGAGATGAAGCAAAACGTACTAGTAGTTCACAACTGAACCATACTATACAAAATGTTTCAATGATGAAAAATGGTTGGTCAATTGTTGGTAAATCATCTTCTTCAAAAGTTAATTCTTCATAACATAAAGTAGAATTATGGTTATTCATTATTTTATATCGACGAAAATGTGGTAGAGTTTCCAAACAAAAAATTATAATTGATAAAAGAATAACAAATACTGAACCAATAGCCAATATACGTGCAGCTAATGAACTTTCTGGGTATTCAAATAAAAGCCAGACTTTGCGTTGAAAACGATTTCTTGGTAGAATTTTTGGTTCCTCTTTAATAAATCCTTCTTCCTCACGATATTTGGCCAATGCTTCGTCACCTAATTCATAGAATTTTATTTCTTCATTGAATACATCTATTGGCACATTAACAGGTCGTCGAAGTCGTCCACCGCTTTGATAAAAATAAAGTATACCGTCAAAACTTGATCGATTTCTGTCGAAAAAATATTCATTTCTTAACGGATCATAATAGTGATTACGTTTATTGGGATTACCTAGTAAGGTATCAGGAAATTGATTGACTGTTTGTGCTTGAGTTTCAAAACGTAAACCGCTTACATTGATTACTAATCTTTCACTTTCAATTTCTGGACGAAATATTTCATCTGAAGTGAGTTGATCAATTCCTGTTTCCTCTTCCAGGTTTTGATTTATTCTGTAAAAATAATTTAAATGACTCTTATGTCAGCTAAATATACTTCCAAAAAAGCTTATACGGTGAATAGAATAATGGGATTCACATGTTGATTATGTATAATAAATTACAGTGATATCAGAAAGCCGATAATTTTTTATTAAAAAACAAAGTAACTCTCAAATTTGAGTTTATTTTATTCATAATCAAAACGTCGAGCCTGTTATGAGGTACACTGAATGTTGTTGAAATTGAAGAGTTCATTTGGTATTTATTAAACTTAAAAGTCAGTAGAGTTGTGGAGATCGTTGAATTGCAATTGAGATCATGAGCCAATCAATGTTAGAATACCACTGAAAACCTGGAAGCACTGGAGGGTTGTTTCGTCCTTTCATGGGACTCCTCAGCAGCACACAGCCACGATCCCACACGCGGGACTCAACCCAAGGCCTTTGATCTCACGCACGAACGCCACCACCAGTGTTCTAGGGGTTAAGCGTTCGCGTGAGACCAAAGGTTCTATCTTCGGTTCTTGCGTGTGGCATCATGGATTCGCACTACTGAGGAGTCCCATGCTAGGACGAAAAAGTCGTTCAATGTTTCCAGGTTTTCAATGGTAGTCTAACATTGATCGGTACATGATCTTAATCAAAACTTAAAAGTACGAAAAAACTGAGGTTTTGAGATAAAGATTTTTTATTGTTTTTGAGAGACTGGTTTGGAGATACACTGCACTACTTAATTATAATAAGTATCTCCGGAAAGCGACCAGGATTCTGGAGTCAATCAGCTAATTATTTATTTTTAGATGATCATTAATATGGAGATGCTTATGTTGCACATTGAGCTGGTTGAATAATGAAATTTTTTATTTATATTACGATTTAACAAATGATGTATTCTAAACCAAATTTTAAGTGTGTTAAGTGTGGAACTTCTATGTAAATGATTTGATCTGATCGAGTTATTCAAAATACTCAGAAAAACTCTTTTTTCGATTACTTTCTAGGGCCTTTTATTTAGACTACTCAATAATTAGGGAGTGAGTTGTAACAATTATGTTTATATTTTTGGGATTAATTGACTAAAAACCCTTGAATGTAACAATGGTTTTAACTGATCACTATAATCACTAACTTTTGTGTTCTCTTCTTCAGAATTGTGTATTCTATCACTTCATATTACATAACTTTGTAATTTATTATTTTCTACTATACAAAGGTAATACGCAGTGTTTTACTCTTCTGGAACATGTATAAAATATAAGTATTGTAAAATGAAGTTCCTGTCAAATGTAACCAAAAGTTATTCTTTAATAAATAGAATAATTGTGATCCACCTTCTTCCTTGAATAAAAATGAAGTTAATCTATCTGATTGGTTTAAAGATGCTATTTAATGGACAAAAAATTGGAATATCTACTGGTTGTTACTAATCCATTTTGTGATATTGATTTTAGTCAACTTATTGAGATGGAATCCAAAAGTTTCACATATTCAGTAAGTAAGTATTTGTTTTCTGATTCATTAAAATCCTTAAAAAAGCTGAAACGTGTTATGGATGCTGAGGAATAATGTGCCAATCATTATCATGTTAAGTCTAATGATGTATGTCTGAAATATAATGATTCATAACTCAGAGGCTGTGACTTGCGTTCTAGACTCAACTGGCTGGGCTAGACAGGGGAGCGGGACCAATCGGGACTCTGATTCGATCGATAAATACGCTGCGCATCGAACCGTGCAATCCACCCAGTACAACAAAACGTAAATAAACCCATCTGAGATTTCATGGAGTTTTTAAAGAGCAGATAAGGATTTGCTGTTTACATCATGGTAGCTTTTTTGCTTTTGTTGTTCTGGAGCAGCTTTGAATGTTTGAAGTATGTATTACATAGGAAATAACTGTTACGTCGACTCATATATAAAATACAAGGCTATGTATATTTATTTCAGTTCATGAAACACTAATACTCAACTGCTTAATATTTGATATTAAATAATAAACAGTTAAGCAAGGTCATTTTCTGATTTTATAAAGCAGAAAATCTTTTAATCTGATATTCAGCCCCTTCCAAATAATCCCTAGTCAAACTGCTCACTTAAGTGTTTAAACAAGAAGTTCTAAAAATAACATCATTATCCGTGAACATTCATAATTTAGATTTTACAGTAAAATATTCGGAGATTATAGATTCAATGGTGAGAATTGTTTTTTATCTATATGAATAATGATGCTATGAAACATAAAGCTTTCTAGATGTATACAAATAGATAAATCTATCTTTTTCTTTCTTCAAGCACATTTGACTTCATTGTGAACCAGAAGAACAGGACTTTTTCAGCATTGGGATCGCCTATAATTTGCTTGTTATTTGACATTATATGAATGTTTAGAAATCCTCCAATATAATCACATAAGAAACGGCTATACATTTATTGAATTCTAAAAGATTTAAATCTAATCCATGCATTCAAAATTACCAATACTGTTAACTCTGCTTCGACCTAGTCACCTCAGTTATAAGGATTACTTGCGTAAAATTTTTACATTCTTAATAGTAAATTCTCTTCTCAGTTTTTACCCTTCTATCTGAGCCCTACTTAGCTAACAAGTCTCAGTTTTGGATTTACTATTACGTACTCGATCATATTAATCTTTTTTTTCTCGAAACTTGTTTTCGTGCACCAATTTACTTTCCCTTCTGCGATACTTTTGCAATTAAAGGATAATCAGTCAACTGCACGAACTGCTGTATTAAATCTCGTGTTTATCGTCTTCCTGAAAATCTTTTATGTATATCTAAAGATTAACCAAGGTTTTTCTATAAGTGGGATATGAAATACATGTATTCCTTTGTTTAACATAATCAATTCTATTGTTTTTATGTCGCGTATAGCTTAAAAGAATTCATAAACTTGATGAATTCACATTCTTCTTCTACAATTTTCAATTGTATTTTAATAACTTTGCTCACAATAGGATAAACAGTATTGACATTTGTTTAAAAATAATAAACAGCATAGTTAAAACTAGTTAAATGAAGAAACAATACTTTTATTTTCTCAATGATAAACTTATGATTGAACATGTAATTTTTTGTATGGGTAACGAGAACTAGATACAACACTCGATATCAGATATTAGCTACCTAATAAACTATAGCAACTCAAAAGGGAATACAGTGAGTACCTTGAATACTGCTTGATGATTGTGATCATTTGACGAACTCTCTTTGCGAATGTAACAATAGATGATTAAGAAAAGTGTATTTTTAGCTATTCACACTATAATGAATAAAGAACTGAACAAATGTTCATCGATTCTAGGACAAGGGTGTGCTAAGTGGGAAATAAACTAAGAATTCTTTTTCGTAAGGACAGAAGCTGAACAACATCACTATGTGTATATGTTTTCTCCATGTTAAGACAATTTAATTATGAATATATAACAACGACAAATATTTATAATCGTTACCTAAAACTTCGAGTGAAAAAAATGTTCTAATACTACAATCGATTTACACTATTTAAAATCTGATAGCGATATTATTCTCTCATTAAGAAGAACAGTAAATGATCATAAATCATATGAATTTTAATGAACTAGATGTTTGTCAAAACATTTCATCCCTAACTTTCCAATTATTGGGAAAGGTTAAGGTATGAATATATAACCAAATAAACACAAAAAGAAATAGGAATAAAATAATGTAGTACTTACTTTCTATTACAATAAGCCAATGTTCCACGAGGTAACAGAAGAGTGGATGCTGTTCCTGATAAGGTGGACATGTGAAAAGTTTATTTGTGCTCATTTTATGTGTTTACATGACAAAGGTAATTATCTCATTATTAAACAAATTTTATTGTTATAGTGAAATGTTTTTCAAGTAAAATTACATTAATTTAATCAAAGATATTATTTACATAAGTTTAAGAAAAGATATGAATTTGTTAAATTATTCTTTATTATATCTTCAGTTCAATTGATTTATTAATAGATATCGATACATCCATAATCAGTTACAGTGTCTTATATAACCCAACAAAGCTTGAACTTCAGTATTTATGGCTTTTAGAATCGGCTATTACATTCAATAAATAAACTGAAGACCTTATCTACGCATATCCTTTACCATGATTTGTTCCATGATAAGATCCACTTAAACGGTTGTCACAGTTATCTCTGTCGTGTTCATCTTATATATATGAATTTTTCATAAAAGTGAAAAATCTTCAATATATGTCTGTCTATCGATACTACGATCTTCACCTAATGCCTTAATGTCCAGTTGTGTATATGCACGTAAAGAGAAATCTTTTGTAGATTTGTGCACGAGCGATATACAGACAAGAAACATTGCGAATTTCCTATTGGTTCATCCTACTTATCCCGATTTTTGTTCACACTAGACATTCTGTTATACAACACATTACTAACTTATGATCTTCGTATCAGTGGCAATCGCACCGGGTAAGTTTATCAAAAATTATTGGATACAAAAACATTCACAATCGAGAACCTATTCCATTTGTCTGACAAACGTGATATATTTCGATATAATTTTGGAATCTAATCAATACCAATAGATCTTTAGAAAAAGAAATACTATTATTCAAATAAGTATGTAAAGTTCAAACAGAAAAACCTTAATGTTATTCAAAATAAATCAACAAATTACTCTTAATGAAATAACATAACCCGTAAGTTAAATAAACAAAGGGATGGGTAACAGCTTAGATTGCGACCTAGTGATATTCACACGCACATGAATATAAATGTATCCAAGGCTAAAAATAGCCATAGTTCATAAAAACTGTCTTAAGTTTAGGTGAAACTTAGGAAAATAAAGAGAGATTGTGAAATGTGCAATTATATGAAAACAGAAAAAATGTAAAAAAAAAAATAAAAACAGGTATTAAACGAAAACTATAAGTTTATCATATAACTAAATCAACACTTGTGTATTTGAATACCGTTTATTTAACAACTAAAAGTTCATTACGTTGTACTTTCAAAATGAATAGTACAATAAAAGAGATAATAATATTATCAGTCTCTGTAATCGAATGAAACTCTAGACATACCAGGATTATCACATTATTTTTATAGTTTGTTTAATAATAGTCTGAGATAAAAACTGAATGGATGAAAATTTTAAAAAATATAATATTTGTTCTAGATTCTACTTCTAGTCACTATCCATCTTCGCTTATAAAACTTGTGACATAGGGCAATATCGAAACACGATGCACATCTGTCAATAAGTGACTGATCAATTGCAGTCCTAAATAACAATAGGGAGATACAAGTAAACAACATCAATTGAATTAGTTTTATCTTTCCTGAACATAAAGATCAATTCTAGCATGACTACTATGAGAATGTTTACCAGTAAAGAATATGTTATTTTAGAGAGACTAGAGAGAACGACGAAGTAACAATTCAAGTCTACATGAAAACGCTTGAAATTCTGCGTTTATTATCTTTTTAAAAAAAGACATTGTATCCATGGTTGTCCAGCTTCAGTCGGCTAATGATCTCAACTATTGAAATTATTAATATCTCCACAAAACCCTTCTCATAATAATCATCTGCTCACTAGTGACTTATTTCAAGAAACACTCCTGGAGTTCTAGTGAGAAGTCGTGACCAGTGGAGTTCAACTAGTTCTGTTGTGAGTTATCAGCGCACTGAAGACAATGGTGTACGGTGGCGCACTTTCGTGGATTGGTTGAAGCTAGATATTAACACCACTGGATGCCGGTCAGCTCAATAGTCTGATGGTTAGGGGCTCGCGCGCGAGACCTATATGTCCTGGGATCGAATCTCTCCAGGGTATGGATCATGGGTGAGCACTACTGAGGAGTTTCATAATAGGACAAAACGGCCATCCAGTGCTTGCAGGCTTTCAATGGTGGTCTAGCTTCAGTTGACTCATGATTTCATGATCGATAAAGCACTAATAAAAGAGTATTTAGATATTTGAATTTTGAAATTTTCAAGTTTCCTTCTGTCATAATCTTAAAAGATATTTGATAAATGAAAAAAATGTGATAAAAATGATCGACAAGGTTTATAGTTTTATAGATATTAGAATTTAATTTCAGTACACTCATGGCTTGTTGCCTGTAATAGAAAATCATACTATACCTTCAGTGTGATACATATGTATACTGTTTTTAATAATTAATATTATTATGTTTAGTTTATAAGCAGCTGATAAGAAACCTCGAATTCATTAGCAGATTTAAGCTAAGCCACCATTAAATAACTAGAAAAACTGGATGGGTATTTTATTTTCGTATGGGTCTACTCAGCAGTGTACATTCAAGGTCCCGCACCTAGGAAACGGTCCCAGGTCCTTTGGTCTTGCGCGGTAACTACTGTACTTTAGGCCACTAAGCCCATATTCGACGGTGATAATATCTAAACTTAATCAACCCACGACAATGAGCACCATCATCTATTGCTTTCGGCGAGTAACTCATTTGTACATGACACTGCTGAACTCCACCGGCCACATTTAAATCGAACTCCGGACATTTCTTCTCACTAGTAGACACAAGGTAATTTTTTCAACAACGTTGTGGGTGTTCTTGAATTTCACTGAAATCATGAGCCGATCCAGGCTAAACCAACACTGGAGACCTGAAAGCGCTGGACGGACACCTCAGTAGTGCTCATCGATGACCTCATAATCGAGAATTATTCATGATATTTTATTATGTTAATAGATTTTTTCTTTAGTCAAACGACCTAGAATTTCCAAGCGTTCGACCAAATAATGGATAAATTATGAATGTGGGTTTTATGGCCTTATAAATCTTCCCCGAACATTTGAACCTATGTTAAGAACGGCAAAGAAAATAAGGTATCGTTCAGTTGATAAGTGGTTTTATTGTTCTCTAGGCTATTGGATTAAAAACCATTCGCTCATGTTTTGTTTTCTTTATTCACATTCTGTAAAAGATTTATGCATGATAAACAATACTTTTTTTAGGATTAATTTTTATCTAATCAGGTTATTTTACTATTATTAATCAATACACTAATTTTCTCATGAAGATCATAGATTAAATGTACACTGTGATATAGATTTCTTCCACTTTTTATGGTACAGAATGTTTGAGTTAGCTAATAAATTTACGTACATACAAATATTAACGGCAAATTTCAACCAATCTTGTTATGTGTGTGTTGGGAGGGGTGGTATCCAAGTGACAAATTACTAACTAAAAAATATCTGTAAATATATGGATGCAGATACATCCAGCTGACGAGTCCCAATTAGGGTGAATCATGCGTACTGGATTCCGCTGCTAGCCACCATGTATCTTTACTTATAATGCTTTTGAGTTGAAACAATGGTGAAGCAAGCCGCACTGAATACACATATGCAGTTAAGGGACTGATCAATTGCAGTTCTAAACATCAACAGGAAGACTCAAACAAAAAATACAAAATGAATATAAGAAACAGTGGCGAGACTATAATTTGTGGACGAACTAATCACGTATAAGATAACAGGTCTCGGATTTTGACGTGAAATTCACTCATCCATTTGGATAAATAGATTTTTGGCATTATAGCTGATGTCAGTTCATGACGAAAACCCAGAATCTAATTCCTAAGTTTAATCATAAACTGTAAATTATAATTCTAATTCCTCACACAGGTTCATAACATTCATTTAGTCAAGGTCAGTCTAGCAACTGTCAAAGGTCGTCCATAAATTATAGTCTCGCCGAAACAGATTATATTGTACTGAATTTGATAATTGAATTTGAACTCATGTATATTTTTTTGGTGAATCACATGAATGAGCTATTTGTGCACTTCATTACTTAGTCCGAACAATGATCATGTTATCTATTTTCTATCACTCACCAAATAAACTGATGAAGGATGACATTAAGGATTGTATATCATGGTTTGTGTTGTCAACATATCTCTCACCTATAAGCATTACAGATAAAAGTATTCGTAGAATAATACAGGTAATTGCCATATGCTTATTTTTCAACATTTTTTTATATTTTTTAAGTACCTAAATAATTCAAAGATATATTGACAACAACTTATTTCAAACATGTGGATTATTATTAAGGAAGGATTGTTTGTACGTAGATTGTTGTACTATATAGGTTCAGTTGATTTCACTGCTAATGTACAAATAAGCTTGTCCCATGGTGTGTAGTATAAAAACGCTGATACGAATTTTAATTCTGTTAAACTGATTAAATAAATAATATGATAGTTAACTATAAATAATTTCCTATTAGAAAATCTAAGCAGGCAACATCTAGTTCATGTGTAGAAATGAACTCAATGAGCAAATTTGTACTATTCAACTTAAGTTTTTTTTTGAAAATTGAACTTCAGCTGAAGGAATACATGATAGTGATTAGCTTTCAACATTTGCCTATCGCGCCGTGGACGATATAAGAGCTTACCAGCTGTTGAAATAACAAATTTTGATTGCGGTTAAATTGATTTTAATTCATACATAACATTCTCGGAATACTGTTTTAACCACCGATTAATCGACCTAGAATTTCACGTTATGCATGGAAATGACGAGTTCGAATTTTGTACATAGAATCGCTAGATTTAGATGAGGAATTCACTTATCGTTATTTAATATTCCATTAATGTTGTGAAAATATACACACTATGTGTTATAATACCTTAACTTCTGAATACATTTAGCGTTTTCCATTTTTGGTTTAGTGCGATGCTTCTAATTTCTAAGAAGTACATGTAAAGAAATATTGGAATATTTATATTAAATTCAAAACTATCATTTGACCATCAAACAAACTAATCAAAAGTAGCTTGGAATGACCAGTTTCTAAATACATTATTTTTTCAGTAGGATTCATCATCAAGTTTTAAGTTACATTATTGTACTTAACGAAATATAAAAAATATTTTACTATAAAAGCACATAAAACACAAAATCTGTTGTCTAGATTATATAAGTGATTGACGTTATGAAGAGTCATCGTTTCTTTTTATATGATAATCACAATCTTTAAACCAACAAGTGA